GCTTGTTTTTTTTTTCTCCAGCAAACTGTAGGAAGGGAAAAAAAAAATCTTTTTTCCTCGAATTGAGTTCCATTCCAAATTACAATGAGTAATCAACCTTGCAATATTCTGTGTTAAACACAGTAAGTAAACGGGCCAGTCTATCACATTATTCATTGCTGTCATTAAAGTATCAATATGGATATATGACTTCAACCGCATGGATCTTGTTTGTTCATTCAGTGTCTTTAAACCTTGGCGGATTCTGAGATAAAAGGCCAGCGTAACGAGCTAGTTTTATATTAACAAGAAGCAAAAGGCAGACGGGCGGTCAGCGCGGTGGCCTGTGTTATCTCGGTTACCTGAGCAGCCTGAGCTGTCCTTCAAAAACAGCTGTTGTGCTCCAGTGTATAACGGATTAATTAGCAGTTTAGGCAGGAAGGTTCCAAACCCTTCTGCTCACGTACCTGTGCTTCCCGCCGGTGCGCAGGGTGGCCAGGCCTGTGTTAATTCTTTGCTTTAGCTGAACCTGGACAACTGCAAATGTTTCACTTTCTTAAAAACAGAACATAATACAAAGATATTGAAGCTTTGTGGTTTTATTTCTAGGCACCTGATTCTTCCTGTAAATAGGATACAGACAGGGTACCAAAATCAAAGTTTGTAACGTGAAGCTATAAAATAAGACCAAAGGAAAATAATGGGATGGCCACTGATCACTGCTTCCGGGTTTCAGTGCTGTTATTTTGTTCAAACGCAGAGACTTCACTGCAGGACATGCAGCTGCCCTCTCCTCCAGCCTTTGCTGCATGTCCTTTATAGCTCCTCAGTTTCTCTTCCAAGCTCTTCACCAAATTTTCTTGGAGGAATTCAGCTTAGGAATGTGTGTGTAGTGCATGCAAGCACACCAGTGTGAAAGGGGGAAAAAAGTGTTGCAACTTGACCAAATTCCTTCAGAGTTACTGACAAAAAAGTCTTGAGGCAGGACTGAATTTCACAGGATCTGAGAACATTTATATGTGTGCACAGTATCGTGTTTTTGTGTTGCATACGTTTTCCACAGCACTTTTAAAGAAGCTGTTGGCAGCCCTTCAAGGGTAGCAGAACCAGGGCTGTAATCAATGACGTGGCACACAGAAAGCATTAGCAGTGATGCTGTGCAATAATTTTACTTTTACAATTCAGTAAGCTGCTTACTGAACTATTCTGTAGTAGAAAATAAAGCTCTGGAGCCTACATTAGAGAACAGAAAATTACTAGTGATTATGTGAGATTTTTAAAGATTACTGGATTAAAACTCATGTGCTCTGTGCAGACAGATTGTAGTAGAGAAATACAAAGCATGTTTGTGTCTTGCAAAACAATTACTTCTAAGAATCCAGCGTTTAGCATTTTAAATATTTTCTTTATATTTCATAATGTGCCATGTAGCATATTAGTGCTATGTAACGTTATAGGGAAATGATCAAAAGATGACTTTTTTTTTCTTTTTTGAATTGATTTAACCCAAATCTCTGAATAGCAAAGTTTAACCATGATAAAATAGCATGCTGCTTCCTGAGTTGTTCACTGTTGAATTCATCTTGATCTTCATAATTTCTCTGTTGGTTTTTACTGTATTCTATTAATTTAGTAATGTAAATTGATGATCACTGATATACTAAATTGAAATATTTTTTCATTGATCTATTAACTGCATTTCCATAATTTGCTAAGCCAGTTCTGGTGTCCCTGAGACTGAAATGTGAAGAACATGGAAGGCAGTGGTGGAAAAAGCTTAGTAAGGAAAGTTTCCTGAGAAAGTAAAGTTTTTGGTCTACAACAGGGTCTGAAGCAATTTGGAATAGCATTTCTTTTTAAAACAAAATATCCTCGAGCCTGAAAAAAAAAAAGGCAAAAAAAAGCTCAGAACAAAATAAACCCTTATTACTGCTTTAGTAGTTGTGTCTTCTGCTAGTTCATAATATTGAACCTCTGAAAATAATGTCTTTGGAACGGCACCTCCATGTGCGGATGTGTGGCATATGGGAAGTATGCTGAGGTATGATATCCTGCCTGCTTGCGCCTTCCCTGTCCTTGGGTTTTGGGGGAATGGGTGTATTCTTCTCCTGGGGTGCTCTTCGGATGCTGCATTACAGTCACGTCCTGAGCAGGACTTTGAGGAGCTGCTGATGCCCCTTCCTGCTGAGCTCAGGACTTTTAAAGACTATTTTACGTGTAAAATCTCTTAGATGCTTTTGTTTAAAATTTTATCTCAGAAAAGATTCAGAGATGATTTTTTAATGATTTGTTAAAAGAATGATATATAAAATAGATTTTATTGAATTTTATTGGCTTTTGTTCTCTCTGAAAAAAGTTTGCTCTTGTAATTTTTTCTCAAGTTCATAGATGTAAACTGCCTCAAGTTCTTCTTTCTGTTTTTACTATTAAATCTTACCTTTTGACCATTCTATCTGAGTTATAAAGCAAATAAGTTGGAGTTACTTTTAATGCTTGTACTTGACAGCTCATGTAAATAAGTTGTGACACAGGATTCCATCAGTGTAGATAAAAGTTCATTAAACTTAATTTTGATAGTGCAGGGTATTGTCTATTATCAGCCCTATGACCATTCTTTTGCTTAAGCAGTTGGCAAGTTATTATCAACTTATAAATAATGAAAACAGATGACTCAGCTGATTGTAAATAATTTTCTTAATGCGTTGATAATATATTGGGCATATTGTTAGGAGGGAGTTAGTAGCAATTAAACTTCCAGACAGTGGCCATTCCTGAACTTTGTTGTATTGTTGCTCTGTCTAAATAGTTGTTTAACAAAGTGTTCACTAAACTTAGATACGGGAGTACACATGTATTAAACAGTCATGTGAACGAACATGAATGCATTCAAGTCATTTACTTTAAATTGTGGGTTTCAAACTTAAGTAAATTTTGAGTACTGCAGTAAAGAGGACTGAAGATTGCTTTTGCGTATAGACAAGGGTTTGTTTTTAATGTCAGAGCTTAAATTAGAAAACTTAGATCTAAGCCAAAAACCTTGGTATGAGGTAAAAGCAGTAAAAACAGAAAACGATTATCCATAAAAGTGGGTATCCAGAAATAGAACTGTATTTTTGCAGCTTAGAAGAACTTGTACCTTTTCTTGTAAACTTAAGGAGTGTAGCATAGAGCAGGATGAGTTTACTTTCTCCAGTAATTTTTCTTTATTAATGGATATCTTAAATACTGACCTTTACTGAGCCACAAGTAATATGTTTACTATCAGTCTTCAAATAGAAATATTCTCTGTTTATAGTGAGAGTCAAGTTTGTTGCAAAACCCTGTTGTGTAATGTGATTTTCAGATGTCCTAGCATAACTTATTTCTGAAGTCTTTGGACTAGACTGCTCAGCTTTTTCTCCATCCTTTCCCAGAAAAGGAGGACGTGAGGAGGAGCCCCTGTGTTTCCCCACAGCACTCTGCTGCTTTGTGCTCGCTGAAGTTCTCTTCTGATCTCTTGCTATGCCAGCAACACAATGTGTGATCCCTTCTGCTATCTCTGTTTAAAAAAAAAACAATAAAAAGGCCATGTTTGGTGTTCCTCAGGAGGCTGGGCACGGGCAGTACTCTGTACTTTTATTCTTAAAAGCTTAGGATGGCAGAAGCTGTGTGTGATCTTCTCCCCAGCTCTTCCTGCCTTTCGCTTGCAGGAGCCAGGGCCCCTGCCTGCCACGGCCCGTGAATACGGGCGCAGGGAGGCGAGCGGGTGGAAAGGGTTGTTCAGAGCGAGCCGCCCGACGAGGGAGCGCGGGGAGCTGCTGCTGCCAGCCCAGCAGTGCTAGGAGCACGGCTCGGGTATGTGGCACGCACAGCCTCAGGACATCTGGGGTCCACGGATGCATGAGCTGATGGCAGGAAGGCTGCCTCTTAGGAGCAGTTTTGCAAATACCTTCAGGAGATCCATTGAGTAGAGTTTGGCCTTTTTTGTTTTGATCTGTTTTCAAACAAAGTAGCCTAACTAGGATTAAAACGGGTATGTGTTGCTGTCTGCTCTAAAAGATGTTCATTTAATGCAGTCATAGAAACACCCAAGGGCAGCGTAGAATTGGAGCCTTTCCTCTTTCTCCTGCTAGGAATTCTGGAATAAATGATGTGCATGTTGCTACCTTAACTGTAACACAAGGATAGCATAGTGCTGTGTGACTCATGCTGTCCTTGCTGTTGCCATGGCTGTGAAAGCTACCTTGTGAAATGTTTATTTGGATATTTTTTTGCAGAACTGAATCAGAAGGATGGTGTTAATGAATGTTTGGAATCTCTGTTTGCATTGCGCGGTGCGTTAAAGGCAGTGTTTTTAAAAATATTGTCTTTGGAAATCATTCTGCTTCAGGAAAAATGATGTGCCTTAATGCTTAAAGCTGCTGTTCTTTTATTTTCTGAAGGAGAACCAAATCTGTTTAACTGCAGACACTGCCTCTGCAAACTGCCAGAATGTTCTTACTTGGCCACAAAAATCTAATCCAAGTCCTGTTAGTCTTCGCCCTTTTTTACTTACAAATCGTGATATGGCCATTATGCTTTTCAATCCATAACAATGTTAGGAGCAACAGGCACCTTATATTTTATTTATCAGCGTATGCATGTTTTAAACCTGGCTGTGCCTCTTTAACAGCATCCATGTAAGGACGTTAATTTGTTAGAAGAAAACAAAATCTTTGATATCTTTTTCTTAAGGTTAGTATAATTGTGTCATCTTCCTAGATTATAGCTTAAAAATAGACCAACTTTCACTTATTTCTCAAGGTGATGATCTATTTTTAGTTTCTGTGCAAATAACACTGGTCAGACATGAGTTTTTGTTTTCATTAGAGTAAAATCTTTAGAAGATCTCTTTTGGTCTGTTAAAAAAAAAGTCAAAGTGATTTAGTGTTGTAATCATATTCTTTCCAGATATGGAAAAAAAATCTTGCTTAAGAAAAAATTCTTTTGATTTGCTGCTATTGATTTGATTACTGAACGGGTATTACTGCTTCCGTCTGCAGAGTGCTCACTTGGCCATGATTGACACTCTCATGATGGCCTACACAGTAGAGATGGTCAGCGTGGAGAAGGTGATTGCTTGCGCTCAGCAGTATTCGTCCTTCTTCCAAGCTACAGATCTACCTTATGACATTGAAGATGCTGTTATGTTCTGGATAAACAAGGTATGAGTACAGAAAAAAACAAGCTGTGATTTTCTTTGTAGGCCATATGATCCAGTTAGAGCTGAGTGGGTGTGGATGTGTGTGTGTGTGAATATCAAGACCACGTCTGATGTGGGTTGTTCCTTAAGCTGCTGCAAATGGAAAAGGAAAAGAGCAGAAATTGATTAAATGTATTGGAGCCAAATAAATTGGAAGTCGAAGTAAAAGCGGTATTTGTTACATATGACATCTAACAGTCACTGTCATGTTTTGATGAGCTTATTGAGGGTCTCTTTTGGCTCTGCTGAGAATTATTGTCTTGTGTAACTTGCTATGATTCAAGCCAAGGTAGTTCTATGTCATCTTCCTTGTGATGAACCTTCACTTCATGATCGAATCTAATGGTAACAATATTCTGTTAATCAAATGTGATCAAGCAGAATAAGGGTCAGGTCAGTTTATGCAATGTAAAGCTAGTAACTGGTACCGTGTACTCGCTAAATCACTGACACTTGTTCACAGTGCTTCAGGTGTAATTCTGAAATTTCATTTGGTTACTGTTTTCAATTGACCTGGTGGTAGTGATTTATAGATCTGTAGAAAACTTGTGATTTCTGGCACTTGTTTCTTAGAATTGACTACTTAAGAAGTTATTTTGTCTTTAGGTAAATGAACATTTGAAAGACATAATGGATCAAGAACAAAAATTAAAAGAGCATCATGGTGCAGAGGCTGCAGGAGGTCAAAAGGTATGTGTAGGGGGTTTCATATTTTAAACAAGAATGTTTATCTGTAACTTGCATGTAGTGTGCATAAGTAAATATATTTTTGCAGACACTGCACTTTAAACATTTGTTAAAGCAAGATTTTAGTTTTCAGGCATTATTATTTCATTATTAGCTTCAGCATTTTTAAGATAATGTCCTTTAAATGCAGCAATAATGGAGCTACAATTTACACTGATAACTAAGTCCTTGATAGCATCAAAACACCTGTTATTTAAATCTGACCAAATTTATTAAGACTAATATTCTCCAAATGAATTCAAACTGCAATTGGATCTAATAGGAAAAAGGAAAGTGTGCTTCCTTTCATTAGGAACTTGTGAATTCTATGTATTTAAAAAGCGGTATAACTATATATGGCATCATAGGCAGAATTGCTCTGTGATCATGATACTGGTTGATTAAAGTTTATGTATATAATCAAAACAGATTGTTTGATACCCTTTCCTAACAGGATTTTTTTTAATTGTGGAGCAAATCAGTTAGTTAAATAGTATTGTACCCATCAAAAATACAGAAGGATTACAAATAGTTCTAGAGTGCATAAAATGCTTTGGTTGCTTCAGAATGAGGTCATTTTTCCTGTTATGATATAGTTATTACTGGGAGAAATGTAGTCAGTTTGGACTGCCCTCTGGTATTAAACCTGCCCTTGAATAAAGAGCAGCAGCAGAAGGATAACCTATTCCTCTTGTATCAAACATTGAATGTTTGATTCTTGAATCAAACATTGAATGATTGATGAGTAGATGCTAAAATGTTATATGCATTTGTGTTGTCTTTCCATCTGAGTTATGGAATCATGTAGAACAAAATCAGAGCTCTGTTTTGATGGCTGATGTAAAAATGAACTTTCCAAAATAACAAGATGATGCCACAGTTGTCTGGCCCTGGAAGATTTTGTGGTCAAGGACTTGTATACACTGAGTTTTAAGTAATGTTATGCCAGACGCATGTAACCTTATCTCACTCAGTGCGGCTTTCGGCTACATGAATGATGTTGTCAAGCAAGGTATCCCGTGTTAGGGGGCTCTATTAGTATAGCTTTACCCACAAGTTAAAAATCTCAGCATGGGCAAGACCTCAGGCTCTTCTGCCTAAGCTGATGGAGGATTATGGCGGGGGGGAAAAAATAACAAATTAATCATCCTTTATGTACAAGTAAGTGAGGAAAATGAATGAAATCCTCTTTGATCAAGTTTTTCAGAGTGTCTAACATGAGTGTTCTCTAAAGTTATGATGTTGTTCCTATCAAGTATCTTCTAGTATCTTTTTTCAGACTTCTGGTTTTTTACCCAGGTATCTGTCTCCATGCTCAATTTCTTCATGCATTTCTTTGTCACATAATCAGTCACATGAGCACTTCCTTTATGCTGTTGATCTTGCCTAACATGGCTCAACAAAGTTGTGGAATATTGTAGCTATATTCTTTACCAGATTTTTGGTATTGCTAAGATACATGTATAATTTCAGCACAAAGTACTTATTAGTACTTTTTTCCCCTCTTACTCTTTTTGTTCCATGTTTTGCTTGGGTTTACTTATTGATATCAGGAGATTATTTTGTTCTTAAATTAATCAAAGCAATCTTATAGATTTTTCCATTATGTGGAAAAATTAAATAATATTTTCCAAAAGAACAGTGAACAGCTTCCTCCTGTATTGGTTAAGGCCTTAGGCTTCTATTAAGGCACATAAGTGACTACAATTTTCAAAAATGCTGATGCAGACTTAAGAGATCTTGAATCATTTTGAAAGTAGGACCATTTATTGGTTTTGAAACTTAGATATTTGAATTTTAGTGCTTATACTGCAGTTCTAGTTTAATTCTCCCTACCTGAAAATTTCTTCATTTTCTTATTTAGATGATTTTAACAATTACGTTTACTTATTTTAAAACTTAACATATAGATAGGGGAAGTAGAATATTTCAGTTTGCCTCTTCTGGGTCTTCTACCAGCCTTTTCAGGTTGGGGATTGGTTTGATAATTTAGGTTTTCTGTTAGAAGTTCAAAAAATGATGATTCCAACTTCAGAAGTTGTGTAACTTCCCTTCTGCTCTGGCCAGGTGCCTTAGGATATTTGAGCTTCAGAGCTTCTGTGGTGTGGCCAGATCCTGAGCTTGAATTAAGTTTAAATTAGCATTGTCTCTTGTGCTGATTTAGGGAGATGACCAAATAGATATGGGAAGAATGTCATTCTAGAGGTTGAGGAAAGCTTTTCTTTAATTTTAGTTTCCATATAAGAAGCAGCAAATAAATTCATAAATTTTAGCTGTGAAAAAATAAAGCATGGAGCATAATCCTCAAACCTGCCCAATTAATGCCCTAGCGTGTTGTTACCAATCTGCTGTGAACCTTTGTGCAATAAATATAAGTTTCTGCATTTCTAGAAGTTGTAAATACAGTGTACGCAGGTTAACAGATGATGCAACTGATAAGATGATACTGTTCTTTGTTTTGGGGTAGCTAGAAACAGTGCAGTAAATAACGGATTACGAGACTGCTTTTGTTTTCCTTCACTTTCTTCTGCCAATAGCTTCCTGTAGAAGACAGAGGAAGGAGTATGTATGGTTTTTAGCTCCAGGTAGTCCTCTGTGGATCTTGCTCTGCGGTGGTTTGTGCTAACCTCAGCTTTCTCTGGTAGAGTCCCTGCATCTTCTTCCAGAATTAGGATTTCGAGTTTTGTAGTGATTAGCTTTGGTTTTCAGGCTTCACTTGAATAACGTGTAGTGAATGTACAGTTGCACTGATTAAGCTAATGGTTGGTGTAGTTGAATCTTTCTCCAAATTCCGTTAATTTTGTGATTTAGTGATTTGAATCATTCTTAATGGTTTTGAGTCAAATCAATGCAAATTCCCCAAGAGAAACAAATGTAACATTCACCAGGAGGACTGAGCTCTTTAAACATTTTGAAAATTAGTTTAAACAGTGCAACTTTGTGTGTGAAGGTAAAACACTAATGCCATAGTTCCACAATCAATTTAACATGCCGCAGGTCCATACTGCCATCAACAGCTAACGGGGGAAGAAAAAATGTTTGCAGCAGGATCAGCTTCATGATCCAGTTAAAGCACAGCTGCATGAATCCTGATGATGGCGCAAGGAAGAGGGCAGAAACAAGTATTAGTGAAGGGCACAACCACCAATTTTTGGTACCAGGATAAATTTGTTGTGTTAAGGTTGTAATAGAATCATACTGAAATTCTTTTTGTCAAAGGAGATTAAATGATCTTTTTGTCAATCTGTAAATCCTCCACCTGAGGGGCTTTTTAGTAAGTGTTAGAAATGGTGGTTAATTACTGTTGGAATAAAATGCCAATTGCACAGTCATTGGATTGGATTCATGTTGAATGAGAGGTTTCAGTTTTTCTTTATCCTTTTCTTAAACTGTCTTTGCGAAGTGTCAGCTGAAATCTCTTTATACGTGTCATAATCTGTAAAATCGTAAAACTGATTATGTTCAGCCTTTTGCTCCTTTGAAGAGTGCTCATGGTCAGCTCAGTTTCAGCCCAGTGGACAAATGGAAATACGTATCAGACCTCTCAGACACGTATCAGAAATAGGTATCTGAGCCCAGTTTGTACCTTTAGACAATCTCTGGGATTGAAGCAAACATGGGTAGGGCTTTCTGGAGAGTAGGTCTTCAGCCTGTCTTTAAATAGGTACTGTTAGATCTTCATAATGCAGAGCAGTCTCAGGTCTGCTAAATCAAATAAAAATGTTCCTGTCAGCATCATGTAAAATTATAGCTGGCCCCAATGTGATCTTGGTCTGTTTACCTAAAACTGCTTTAGATTATGGTTTAGAACTGCTAATTACAATTAAAAATCATCATTTTTCAAATTCCAGTGCTTTCCCAGGCACCGACTAGAATTCAAAAAAAAATTCAAAAAGAAACGGAGCCCTATGCCAAGTGCTTTGGTTGCAAGGGAGCACCTAGAGCCCCCCATTAACAGGCACCTCGTAGCACCCCTCAAAGTGGCCTGGGGGCTCTGCTCTGTATTTGCCCAGCCCAGTGGAGGGGAAGGATGCTGAGAACAGACACATTGCACCCTTTCCTGTGCAATAACTTTATTTTAAAATAAAGGGCTTTATTTCATTTGCTCAATTATTTCAAAAGCTTGAGTAAAATATTCTAAAATGACCATGAAAAATAACAAGCTTCCTTAGCGGTTGGTGTTTAAAACTACGTTTTTACCATTTCCCCAGAATATTTCTCTCTTCAGAAAACAAAATATTTTCCCTATGCTCTTATAATTGTTTTTAGTATTTTAATTTGTATAATTAAATTATTAGAATAAAATGATGAAGCTTGCTGTATGTATATGTAATATCACACTTTTTTTCCTCAGTAGTAGAACTATTCTGCCCCCCTAGTGTACAGAGTTTTTTTTTAAAAAAAATCCATTTTTTTAGGATAAAATCCAGTGTTCTTAGGATGAAATGTTTGGATCAAATTTTGTATTTGTAAAGCTAATTTTTAATAATCTTATTGTGTACTTTTGGGTTAACATACCAGCTTAGAATTTTGTGTAGCAGGTGTGCTCATTTTTTCTGCTAGTAGTGAAAGGAAAACTCCATCTGCATTTCAGGTCATTGCACACCATGCAGCTGATGCTAATGTGATCTGTCATTGCAAGAATGTAACTGCCTGCATCTCTCACTGTTCTGAGGACTGTCATATGTCTGTTGAAAAATATTACTGAACATTAGAGACATAAGTGTTTGGCCTTGAAGTAACTAATACAAACTCCACTAGATTGGTTGTCTTGTAAAGTGTGTTTATAGCTTTTATTTGTTGCTTTAGCTTCCTTGCTTCATCATACGCACTGCCAGAGTTCATTTTGATACTTGCAGAAACATGGCTTCAAGTCTCAAATGAATTCTTCTGTTGGCAGATGGATTTGCATATTTAGGGTGCAATTAGATGTGTGAAAGCATTAAATAAAAGTGCGTTGATCTGAAAATCTTTCTTCATGTGTAAAAATTATAAAGTTGATCTACAAAGATTGCAGATACATATTTTTCCAGTATTAGCTCTGCTAATTAATATAATACATAAAGGTTACATTGCACTAATGTTTACTGTGAAATTACAATTCACTGTTGTACAAAACTGAGAATATTAAAGAAAATTGCTTTGTGAAAGTAATTTATGAAATCTGATAAATTGTTCCTTTTTTTTTTCTTTGCTTTTTGCTTATTCTTTTTGTTTTCTACTGCTTCCTCTGAAGTCTCCTACCAAATGGTTTTGGAAACTGGTTCCTGTAAGTTTGCCCAACTGCTTCACTTTGATCCAAGTAGCTTATTTTGGGAATGGCTTTGTCCATGTCATGCTGGTGTAATCATTCATTTCATTTATCTCTGCAAGACAATTTTGTAAGGGGTTGGTCTTCAAAGGTGCACGTAGTGCAAAATCCTGTTTTGCAAGGTAATTTGTGTAAAGTAAGTGTAAGGTTTGGTGCTGGACTGGGAAACGGTAGAGGTATCTATTCTTTTATATAAGAGAATGCTACATCTTAATTCATGTCAAATCATTATTATTTGCTTTTGTAAAATAATTTTGTATGGACTTCCAGTAAAGATACAGTATTTGATACAGACTGTCTTAAAGAGGGATTTTTTTTAAAAAAAATTATTTTGTTCTTAGGGATACATGGAATCTCAAATTTTTGTACTTTTTGAAAAATAAGCAATCATCATGGCATTAGTCTAGGACTAATTTTGGAGCTGGTAATAGCTACTTAGGATAGCTGTTAATAATTACAGTAATTTGAAATTTTCTCCACACAAAAAAATAACCCCATGCTGTAGCTTTTTGCTTTCATTGAAAGCAATAAAACTGAGCTTTCATGTTTAATATTAATAAAGTTTTCCTCTGTGCTATGCTTCCTTGGAATTATAGTTCCTTTCCGCTATTGTATTGTAACTTGCCCCTGAAATACACTGAACTTGCTTATTCTACAGCAGTTTTGCAATGTGGTTGACACTCTATCATGAGCAGACACACAGTTTGAGAACAAAAGCAGCTGCAGTTGTTCCGCTGTGCAGAATTGCAACCGGTGGCCCCGAACCCCTGGGAACTGTTTCTGATTTATTTTTGCTCTAAGGACTGAATAACTGTGCTAGGAGCTCCTCAGGTATTTATGTTTAGCTATTAGAAGATCATTCATTGCAAAGAGAATTAGAAATAACAAGGCCATTGCATGGTTGGCGACATGTAGGCAAACAGAGCAATGATCTGATGTCTAAAAAGTTATATTAAAAACTTCTGTCAATCAGTATTCAAATTTATAGCAGTTTATGCTCTAGAGAAAATTCCTTTAACGATGTCTTTATTAAAATTGCTATATTTTCACACAGAATATGCTATTCTTTACAGCAAAATCCTTTATTTCTGTTTTGAGGTTAAGATAGCTCAAGGAGATGGACGAACTAATGCAAAATCAAATGAGCCATCTCAGGTCATCACCACACTGCAGAAGCACATTTTCATTTTAATCTGTTCTACAAAATAGGATCCAACTTCAGAGCAGTTTCAGAATTTGTTTTTGTTCATCTTTTTGCCTAAGTTAGTCCTTTACTGTGACCCTTGTTGACTGTGTTCACACTCTATTCACATATAAGATACTAAATTACTCGAGAGCATCACCAACTTCCCCGGACTGTTACCCTGTGAACAACTTGAATTTGGGGGAGACATCTCTGATTTTGAGCATACAAGTTGCGCAGGGGCAGCCGGGACGCGGGGACTCGGGCGCGGGGAGCCGTCCCTGGCGTTCCTGCACCTGCCTTCGCCCAGGTGCTTGTGTCTTCGCTGTGTCCAGGCTTCTGCAGGTGGAATCAGCTTAAAGCTGCTCACTTGAGCTGCTTCCAGTAGCAGCTTAGGAACAAGACTTCTCTATTAGTGCTTTAGCGCCATAATAAATTTACATTTTTTTTTTGCATTATTGCATCCATATTTATTAGCATGCATTGCAACTGATTAGAAGAGTCTCTTCAAATGGGAGTTTATTAAAAATCACCAGTGCAATTACCAGTGCCTTTTAAGTATAGTTTCTTTTTATCTTTTTAACCAAATTGAAACATGCATGCTATACTTTAATGGATCTAGCATATCAGGTTATATAGCTTTTTTGACTTTTTTTCTTCTTTTTCCCCTTGAAGTAATGTGCTTGGCATACTCCCTAAAATAAATTAAATCCTCCTCCTAGTTCCACTGCATTGATCTGACACCATTTCCAGAGTGCAGGACCCTATTCATGTGGCAGTTTAAGGCATCATTAAAGTGACAATAGGCTTTTTCACTGAATTTAGTCTACAAGACAGTTGTATTTCCTGTGTCAAATAATTTGGTTTACTTGGATAATCTAAAAAAGACCTTACTTAAAAGATAAAATATGCAAGACTGGACTATAATCTTAATCTCTCTGATTAATTCAAAATCAAATAATCTTGCAAGTAATGCACTTAATTTCATTCACTTTCATAGGGAAAGTATAGGGATATATAAGCATGATACTTGTAACTCCACAGATATTTGTCATAGTGAGTCTTTAGTGAGTCTTTTTCATAAAGTCAAGAAAAAAGGGAAAAAAACTTTAACTGGAAATGGTTAAAGCTTTATTATTGTAGCTAATAGGAAGTATTATAAATATGGGGGAAAATGTTAATGAGGAATAAAGCACAAACATGTTTTTGTTTGGCATTAGTGGATCTTTACCATATCATGCAAAAATGGCATTTTTATTTTATGCAGCATGTTTCACACACCCCACATTCAGCACATTTTGGATATGAAACAAAGGCAATCCTTTTTTTTTTTTTTTTTTTCCCCCCCCCTTTTTTTCTTTTAAATGTTGATAGGGTCATGTAAAAGTATCCTGGCCTAAATCTGGGCATTTTATTTTACTAGACCTGGTGTATCTGTTATTGCCAAACTAGGTTTATGCTTCTCGGGCCATTTGGAGGCTGCTGACCTGCCCTGAGGATAATCCCATGTGTTTCTTAGCACAGCCCCAGTGCCGGTAAATGCAGCCTTCAGGCTCAGTCTGTGGTTCCCCAGCCTCCTTTGGGAAAACTGTTCCCACCCCACCCATAAACCCTCCAGTCCTGCCTGCTCCTTGGCTCCCGGAATGGAGGGGAGGAGGGGGATGTTGGAGCTGGATCCCAGGTTTTGCACAGCTCCAGGAGCAATTGCTCTGGCACACCGGAGAAAAGCACCGAAGAAGTTTGTTCCAGCTTTGGAGCACGTGCCATTAGCAGATAGGGTGTAGTGTCCCATGCCTCTTAATTAAAGGGTTTTCAGAGTCCCTACAGAGAGCTTCCAGTTTAATGTGTGTATTGAATAATGATAATGTAAAATTAACTTGGAAATACTCTTGGCATCACAAGATGGATTGAAAAGTAATCCTTCAGTACCAGTTTAAAACAAAAACAAAAAAGTCTCAAATAACGTCAACAAGTTTTTAAAAAAAAATTAAAAAAAAGTCATTCTTCCATCTCCCTTTGTTTTGCTAGGAAGTAGGGAGGAGAGGTGATGGGAGTAATGAATGACTTTGTGAGCCTTGTTTCCCTACGGAAAGCATAAAGACATTGCAAGTATATGTTATCTTGATTTTCTGAAATAATGATATCCCTATACATGGAGTTCCTTTTCAAAGTGTTTCCTTTTTATAACTGGGCTTTTTGTTTGTTTGCAACAGCAGTCCTGACCATTAATATTTCTCTAAATTTATGACTGTTTAGTAACATGCACGAGTAATAAAACTGGAACTAATTGAATGTTTCTGCATCTGCCATTAGATCAGTCATAGCAATGAGCTTTTGGGATAGATTATCACATATTTCACCTTCACAAAGTCATCTGGCCTGTCTGTAAGCAGAAGGTAAACAGCTCAGGTTTTCTCTTGCTGTGTTTGTACACAGATCACTTTTGATTGCATAATGCTGAATGTGGAATGTATAACAAACTACAAGATGTGATTTAAATTAGCATGTTGTAGGGAGGTTATCGGTTTTGGCCGGTTTTGAAGGAAAGCCTCAACATGAGTCTCTAGACCTCTTAGATTATTATTTATGCCATTTAAAACGGGGCAAAATGTAGACAGTTTAAAGAAATTATCAAAGAGCAGTCAACTACTTATTGAATACTGCCTTTTTGCTATGGGAGCACAAAACGTACAGTACAAATCTCTTCGTATGTCTCAGAGCCTCTGTCTCGCTTAATCTCTCTTTTTTTTTTTTTTCCTATATTGTAGGCTCGTTATAGGAAGGAGCAGACATTGCTTAAGCAGCTGCCCTGCATTCCCTTGGTAGAAAATCTGCTGAAAGATGGTACAGATGGCTGTGCTTTAGCAGCCCTGATCCACTTCTACTGCCCAGATATCATTAAATTGGAGGGTATGTGTCTTGCATGTCTTGTAAATGCATATGTATGAAAGGAGAAATGTCTTTGTTTTATATTTATTTTATATCCATGTAAAAGGATGCTAAGATATGATATGCGGGAGGTATTATTTGAGTATAGTAGTGAGGTGTTTAATATTAGCTTGTGCCTTTTTTTGCTTTAAATGAAAGGAAATAAGATGCCTTTCTGTATTTTTGTTACTTCTACAGTAATATAAATGCGCAAAGGTTTTTTATTTTACTTCTGCCTGTGTATTCTTATTTGGCATTTGCCTTCATGCTATAAAGCTTGAGACAATCTAGAAAAGTCAGATTCTTGAAGCTGTATAAAAGCTTTCTTTGGAATCTGAGCAGCTACTGATGAAGATGCAGAAGGATCATTTCTATTACAGATAGTCTAGCACTGTTTAGCTGCACTGCATGGTGAATATTTGCTCTGCATTCTGGGCCTTTAGTTCACTTGACACTTAACTATATTATTTACAGAGAAAACAAAAACATATAGTGTCGAACATATTGGTATCTTGTGTTTCTATATAGTAATAAGCTGCGATGAAGAGGAGTCTCATCTAGTTCTTTTGTTCTGTGGCCTGGTTAAAGCTGTATCTTCCTTCTGGCAACCGTGAGCCTCGTGTACTTGTAAAATGGCTTGGCAGTTAACACCCATCATTTTCTGCCTGTGTTTTGTCCGTGATAGCTTTGATGTCGTGGGAACACTTTTACAGAAACATGCTGGGAAATACAGGAATGCGAACAAGGGGAAAAAGCTCGCAAAGGACCAAAATCTGAAATTCATATGCACAGCCACTTTGCAGGAAGCTTCCTGCACAGTAGGCACCGAAGATGAAAGACGCTAAAATTGCATCCATTCACTGTGCTTTCACCTGTGAATTAGAAAAATATAACTGCCAATTTACATAACTGTTGCAGCCAAATATATACCATTGCATCTCGTTAGAGAAGAAGAGTTAAATTGAACCTGTGGTAGCACCTAATTCCTTCTTGGTGTTTTAGCAAGGGTGGCAAAAGGGAATGCCCAAAGGTTCTTGTGCATATTGCAGGGCTACGTATGTAATTTCCAAAAGACTCCTGCAGCATTTGATTTACAGCCCAGCGAAATACAGCAAGGCCCGTGTCATGTTCGGACCTTTAGCTGTGGTGTTTTAGTTGAGGTGTCCTGACGTTGTCTTCTAAAGAAGCACAAATATGCATGAATGTCGTTATCTCAGAATAAATTCAAAGATGCTCTGAAGCAACTAAGAGCACTAAGTCCTCCTTCACTGTGTTTAAACAATATCATTTTTGGTGTATGTTAAGTTTCACTGAGAGCTTGCTCTCTTTTGGAACTGATAAAGTAAGGTACCAAAAACACGTGTGCAAAAGTGCATAAAAATATATTAACACACACAAAAAAAAGAAAGAGTCCAGAATTTTCTGTGCTCTGGAATAGATGATCCCTTTTCATCAAAATTTTAACTTTCAAATTTAGGTTTCCCTCTCAGCACATAGAGCTCGAAAGGCCTTCCTATCTCAGACAGTCCAGAAATATGCTGCTGTCTGGAATTATATAAGCTCTCTCACAAATGTACCATGTTCCCTCTGAGTGCTGCCTGGCATTTTTAAATCTACACATTTAGACTGCTGCAGAGCTCCCTCCCCTTCCTACATGGTTATCTTTTGTTTTCTGCCTAAACACACTTGGAGCCTGTCTACGTGCATTTGTTATTCTCCTAGCAGAGCCCTTTGAATAGCTTCTCCTCACCTGATGTTTGTCTTTTATATACTCTCTTTCTTCTGTTTTGCTCAGGCTGGCTGAACCAAGTCTTTTCAGTCTCCCCTTCTGAAGTGGATTTCCATTCTCAGCATTACTCTCAGTAGTCTTCCTCTGCGATGAGTCTAGTTTTGGATAATCTTTCTTGAATATGGGTGGTCAGGTTACAATTGTACATAGAATTCCAAACTTGTACAGTGCTTCCCTGTCACTACTGGGAATGCATTTTCTGAATCATTTTGAAATCATGGTTGCTTTCTTCATTAGCTCTGTGATGCTGAAAGCTCATAAAAAATCTTGGCATTGGCAGATGCACAATACCTTCCTGTTCTTTATCACTTTTAATTGGTAAATCACATTAGAATTTTATTGGGTCCAAATGCATGACTTGGCATTTTGTGCTATTAAATTTAATCTTATTTGTGTCAGTTAAGTCAAAGAATTTTTTTTTCCTGTACTGCTTGTACCACAGGGCTGAGGTGATGGGATATTTATAAATCTTTCACTTTTAGGCCTCTTTATCATGCTAGCATCAAAGTAGGTTCCTTGTATGGAGGAACTTGTCTACTCTAAACACTTTAGGGTTATGACTCCTACAGCTGCCTTTGCTGTAGGAATAAAACCTAATGCTTGCTCTGGGAGTTTATTCATTTTCTTCTCTTCAGTTTTTTCTTTTTAAAAGGATCACCTTTCTAGGAAGTTATTACTGCTACTTAATCTTCCAAAAAGCATCTATAAAAAGACAAGAGAAGGTTACTGGGGCATATGTAGTATTCAGAAGATGCTGTACAACATAAGTCCGTTCGCTGTTTCTGCTCTGTTGCCTTTAAATAGCACTTCCAGGCATAGAGAGATACTATTAATGTGCCACAGCCTTCTCATGCTTGTAAAAATCTGTATCGCTTGGTAGCACACATCTCAATACCCAAAAATGAATATATAAGACAGAAATGATGCTCCTTTTATTGGAGGATCCAGAGTTAATAGCATTAAAATGTGCTCTCGGGTTCCCGTACAAAGAGAAGGAATTAGTATATCTAGGGAATTTTGTGGGAAAAAAAAGGTACATTTCTTATTATTATTTGAGTATAGAAAATAGATTTGGAAAAAAGTCTGTTTTGATTAAATAAAATTTTCCCTTCTCTGAAAACACCAGGATTTTCAGCATAACCTCTTTTTTTCACATAAGGCAAAGCAGGAAAAAACAGAGCAGTTGCCTATAGTGAAAAATAAAGTTCATTTATGTTTGTAAAACTATTAAGATAAAATATGTGTCACTTCTAGGCTTCTGAAATTGAAAAATGAGTCTCCTGTTAAACAAGAAAATTTAAATTAAATGAGAGTTCTCACAAAAATGTTTGGCAGTTGTTGTGTGAGAAGCACTGCTTTAGAGATATGTAACTGTGTAATCTTTGCTTCTGTTCTTCCTTTCTAGATATTTGTCTGAAAGAGACGATGTCTTTGGCTGACAGCCTCTACAATCTGCAGCTGATTCAAGAATTCTGCCAGGAATACCTTAACCAGTGCTGCCATTTCAGTCTTGAAGATATGCTCTATGCAGCTTCTTCAATAAAGGTAAAAACCACAACCCAAACAAACTCTACTGTAATATAACAGTAATGCTTTATTTAGTTTTTTCATGCTCTGCTGCTATACAGCTAAGGAGGAAAGTTTATTGCAACTGTTGGGGTACAGTCTACCACACAAATGTCAGCTGCATTTAGGACTTCTGGCAGTTAGGTTAGCTTAGTAGTATTTTAAAAGCAACACTTACAGAAACATATATTAAAGCCTTCATTTTGTGCAAAATGATTTCACACCTTGTATTTTGTTTTATTAAATGTTAAAGCATGTATGCCATCTGTAACTTCTATAAAGATAAAATGATGATCTCTGTTATTTCTAATATATCAAAGCTCTCACGTGACAGAGTTTTGAAGTGTTGTTTCACACACTGATTGTTTTTAGGCTTTTAACCTTAAAGGTTTTACAATTTTGTAAATGTGCTGTGTTAGTCTGATTTTTTTAAAGTTCACACATTTTTTAGGCTCTTCTTAGTAAAACATAAAAATGTTTTTGTGCCTGGACCCTTATTAGAGCAGAAGCAGGTATTCCAACGTAAGTATTGTTCGAAGAAGTTAGATTTTATATTTTTAGTCATTCTAGGTTTCCATCCTTTTTAGAGAAAGAGAACAAATCGTTTTGCTTGTTTTATGCTTCTAAAGTCTGCATGGAAAATCAAAGAGTAATTGAATCTCTTTCCTAATTGCAGCTCTTACTTTTCATCCGTGTGTTTCTTTAAGACTTTTCCCTATATAAAACATTCTTCGTTTGCTTTTCTTGTTGGCCTGCCTTTAGGGAGTGAAGTGTTATTTTTAAGGAGTCAGCGTATCCATTGCAGATGGTAGGTAATTGCTTTCTGAGTATCTGGGTCACTGCTCTGCTCGGTGCTCTTTGCAGCAGTCTCGCCAGCTGAGTCACGGAGGCCGGGGCCGGAACGCGCCCTCCGTGTCCCCGAGCTTCCCACATAGGAAACGAGCTGCCAGGTGGAGTAAGGGCAGGACGTGGGGCTGCTTGAGTCTAGACTGCCTCAGCTGCGGCTGTTTGGTGTGTGCAAAATAGTTCAGCGAGTGCTTTCAGCCTGGCCTGGGTATTTTTAGTGTGCGGGTACTGCAGCCTACCTACATCTTCGTAAAAGGAAGGTGGTACCGCAGTCCTTCCTGTTGTCTCGGTCTGGGCTTTCCTGACGTCCTGCGGATTATCCGGAGCAGGATTCCTGTGCTGCGTTGCGGTTACTTCTCCCTGCCTACACATATCTGGAGTAAAGAGAATTAATTACTTGTCAGGTTCGTCCGTGACAGTTAACGAGGCCAGGGTTTTAGAGCAGGTGTGAAATAATTCAAACCAATATCCACTATGAAGCTTGGATTAAAAATTGACTATGTCTAAATATTTTATCAATATTTAGAAGTGCCGCAGAAGTTAGGCTTCTAAAATGCTACAGACTCATAAACTTTGCTGTTTCTGAAGAGTGTTTTTAGAGGGGATTTAGAGTCCTTTCACAGGTTTAGACTATTTCTAGAACTGAGAAAGCCCTTTGTGATCATGTTTTTACAAGTCGCTGCGGTACGGGTGCGTATTTAGATGGAAATGCTGCAAGAAAGACTGCCAAGTTTTTCTTTTAAACTTCGGCCTGGAAAATCTGGCTAGCACTACAAACTCTGTGCTTAGAAGTAGTTTACTTTCAAAATAAATTAACAGTTAAAGGAGCACTCTGTGAGCTTTCCACTGCATCTGCTGGGAATAAGTTTAATGAATATATATATTCCCCTATGAATTTTATTTTCACTTCAAAGAAAAATTAATTGTCAATAGATATTTTAAATGTGGCACATTAAAATGGTTAACAGAAATCACATTCACCTCCTTCTATAAAATGTATATAGTGTCGAGTTGTAGGATTTCTAGCGGAATGCTTTTTGGGCGTCTGTGTCAATCAGCAAAAATGTGTTTATTTTCAGGTATAGTAGGTGGCACTGTGCTTTGTTTTAAAACTCTCTCTCTGATGTTGGTGACAGAAATAATAAAAAGAACCAGACTGGTGGTATGTTCCAGGAAGGAGCCTCAAGGGAAAATTAAGAGAGGGATTTTGGAATTACAGTGAGATGTTGTAGCAGATGAAACTGTTGGTCTAGTTCGGTTATAGCACAGAAAAGAAGTAGGCTTTGTCTGGATTTCTAGATAACTTTAATGTGTCCAAATCAAAAGAAGTCGGAAAGAAATTTGCTTGCCCCTTCTTTGCCTCCTTCTCTTCCTCTAAGAAAAATGCATTTGGGAGGTGCTCACTAAAGTAGGACTATAGATGTTAAGGAAAGTAGTATTTGAATGCATTCCATTGTTGTTTAAGGCATCAAGTGGGCCTAATGGTTTCTTTTTGTTTTACCCTGAGACAGGGAAATAACAAGTAGAGAGATAGCCTTAAGAAAAGGCTGGATCCTCCCTGTCTATTTAACAAGCCAAGATGGAGAACCTTGGTTTTCTTTCTGCTTGTTCCAAATTGCTTCCCCCCCCCCCCATCTTCCCACCTTCCTTCTCCTACATGCACTTTTGTCCTAAGGCGGGATTTTTTAAATGCTGTTCTTGGCTTGTGTGAGGGAGATGACACTGATGCGGAGGAGCTATCTCAGCAGACATCTCGCCCTGTCCTGCCTAGGCAAAGAGCAGATTTGGGGAAACACGAGAGCCTCCGCACAGAGCTGGGGCTGCCTCGCAGGGCTGGAGCTTTAGACCACTCTCTGCTGCTTTATTCCAGGGGGACTGTAGGGCTCAGACCTAGGGACCAGCTATTGGGAGGCAGAGAGATGTTTACGATGGACGGGAGCTCACGTAGAAAGTTGGCGCAGGGTTAATTGACACATAGTTAATTATTACCTGCTATGAATGTTCCTATGGCTGAGCTTTTGGAAAGGTTATTAATTATAAATAGAGTGCACCCATTATTGCCAGCAGATAACGATTCACACGTTGCAGTATTCACTGCTCCCTCGCACGTGGACTGTGCATCTTCTTTTTGCACTAAGATGCTAATCCCAGCAGTCAGAGCAAGTTTTTAACCTTGTCAAAGCCCAGCAAGAAGTGAAGAGAGACCACAGGGCCACAACTTCTCTATTTTTGTCCCCTGCAGAGTATCCGCTCAATTCAGTCCAGTCTTACGATAAAATTGCACATAAGAGAAGAGAGGAGGGAAGATGAGGGCAGAAAAGCAATCAAAGCTGAAGACTCACTTTACGTTTATTGCATATATTTATATTTATTGCGTATGAGCGGAGCTTTCCCTCCCACCCCAGCAGACAACCGTGCAGCTCAGGCCGTCAGCACTTTGCGGATCAGCTGCTCGCCCAGCGTTTGCAGCCGAAACGCACGTGCCGGCCCCCTCGGCCTCCGTAAGGACCTGGGAGAGCAGCTGCCAGGGACCTGCTTCCTCCCTGGCTGCTCTAATTCACTCCGGATCAGGAACCAAGAGAAAGATTAAATCAGGCCTTCACGACGCGATTGCTCTCCTGAGAGGCACCAAATGCTCCCCTCCTTATTTAAAGGGAAGCAGAGTTGATTCCTGTTGCTGGTGTTAATTGGGCTGTCGTGACCCTGCACTGTTGTGCTGGGAAATGAGGTATATTGGGATTTTCAACTGGATTAGTTGTGGCAAGAGATATGATGAGCTTGTAGTGCATGGGTTGTGCACAGAATTGTAATTTAGGTTTGTCCAAAGAGTGTGAAACACTGATTTGCTTCAATTTGGATACTTCTGTATCTCATATTTGTGATAAATAACGTCCTTGGCCTACTGCATAGAAACTTGAATGTGCATCGTGATGTGAATTTCACAGTTTATTTTTATGACCATTTTGAGAAAATGGCTGGCTGACTGCACTTTGAGCTGCTTATAAGTGGTTTGTGTATTAGCGTTATATGTAGTTGCATATTTGTATTATGTAGTTGTTCTTAAAACGTGCAATCTAAAACCCATAAATATAAAAAGGGATGTAATTTATTTTAAGTGGCAAGATTGCTCATACTATTTCTGTTTTCCCACACTGATTTCCCACTATATATGTTCATTTAGCTAGTTTGATTTAGAACTTGATCTTGCTCTTGTGATTGTGGAGAAGGGAATAGAGATATTAAGCGAAAACAAAATATCTGTTTCATATAGATTCTTACTAAGCAAGCTAGCTCATATCTGCCTTTAATGCAGAAGGAAGTAATAACTCTGGGTTTCATAGTCAGAATAAGGGTATCATGTTTATTTTACTGTGCCAGAAGATAAAACAAGTAATAAGTTTACATTTTAGTACGTCCAACAGCCTGCAGTAAAGTAGAAATATAAGACTGAAAAAAATTAGGCAGCCTGTTTAGCAAACAGAAGTTAACGGGAAGCTGCAAGGCTGCCATCTGCTGCCCAGGGTTTTTAATCAGGATGAACTGTGTTCGCAGCTTACGATTTTTAAAAATGCTTCTAAAATACTGTTATGCTTCAGAATAGTTCTGTGCATTAGTGCACATGATAATCATGTGACAAGGTACGAAAAGTTTAGCTGGTATAATCAAGGCAAAATCCCTGCAAATGACATTATTTTATATCTACAGTATTATTTGACATTGCTGCAGACCCACGATGTTTTTTTTTCAAAAAAAAAAAAAACAATACTGATCCTCTGTCTTCTCTTTTGATGGTTATTATAAACATCCCCCTCTGGCCGTAAATCACTTGAGAGGAAGGGTGGTTTCCGTGTTGCCCTTACCTGGGATGTGCTGTACAAAGAGCATCTTTGTGCTGCTTTCCGAGGCCTGCCCCTCCTCGGGGAAGCACAGCATGAAAAGCAGCCCCAAGCCGGGCTGCTGCCGCCGCGCCAGCTGCCCCTGCCCGCTCCTGTCCCTGGAGAGGGGAGGAGGAGGGAGCAGAAAGGCCAGCAGCAAGATCAGTGCCTCTAGCGACATCTTCAAAGTTTGGCTTTCCGTATTGAAATGTAGGTTTGAATGCCAAGAATACACAAAACATCAGCTGTGCCCCCAAGTTTTCATAGTCAGTGATGCTCAAAGACCTGTCAGTATTAAGTGGGTGCATTCAGACACATGAAAATCATCTTGGCAAGTGTATGGATTGAGCTGAAAGATAAGACTATGTATCTGTTTTGCACGCTAAATGATTTCAAAAAAGAAAAAAAAAAGAAAAAAAAAAAAACTAGACCTTTACATCTCCATGAAACATCTAAACTAACCCAAGTCTTAAGCGGGCTGTGCAGCCAACAGTTTGAGTTTTCCTTCAGTAAATACTGCCGTGGTGACTCTGGGAAGACAAGGCTGCCTTTCATTAGCTTGGGACTGCGCAGCAAATGTTCACCAGAAGAATCCGAGTTCTTCATAAAATAGAGGTACTATTAAACACAGCTTTTCAGCGCAAAAATAATAAAAAAAGAGACTGTTCAAATACAGTATTCGTTCATACAGCATCAAGCTATGACCGGAATGTTTTATAATTATTTATAGTAAAATACATTAAGCTGAAGTTGTAAAAAATTAGTAAAGTAGTAAAAAATGTAGTAAAATGAGTAAAGTAAAAAAAAAAGGAGAGGAGAGGGAAGAATGAAAGTATTAATGGTTGGCATAAGAAAAATTATATTTTCTTCTGAAAGGTAGGTCTGACTTTTCTCTCTATGCAAGTTGATTTCCTAAGGGATTCAACACGTGATACCAAAATGCTATGTATAATATTTTGTTTGAATGGAAAAGATCTTGCTGTAAATTTTTCCTCATTCAATTACTGTTGTGCTGACTGAGCAGAGACAGGGTTTTTTTCCAGTCTATTTATAGCTGATATTTAATAACTGTGGTAACATCTGGTATCTCTTCATCTACTACAATCTTTGAGCAGTTTTCAGTCCAAGAATATCTTAGCCCGGGAGCTATCACCAATGGAAGACCACTTGTATCCTGCTTCTGATAGCAGGAGACTTACAACCTTATAGGCATTTGTTTGAAGCAACCAGAAAAGGTTTTCATTCAAAAACAACACCAAAAATATTCAAATAAGAACTGTCACTGATTTTAATTCCTCAGGATTTGCCTTGTGTTTGTTAGAGAACTGCCAACTAAACCATTTTCTGTGTTCTTGTAACTCTGAAATGTGTTTGCTGAAGTTCAGCACTCCCTATTCCTGCAATAGCCTTCAGAAAAGAGCTGACACGTACATTGGTATGTAGGTCTCTCTTTCCCCACAGAGTTCTGTGGAATTGAATGAGTACATTATTCGTAAGTCTAAATTAATTTCTTTTTTAAGACTTTACATGAGTGTTATTTCAGGACCACAGCTGCAGTTCTTAGTCTGTAGCAGGGTTTTCTTGGAGCCAAATGCAGCCCGTGTTGCTAACAAGGTGCTGGAAATCAAAAAAATCTCCCTGGTTAGGCAAATATAGTTCATATGTATGAAAACTGCACTATTAATATCTCTTACAACAAAGTCTGTTCTTCAGCACATAGAATATGTAGCAGCCACCTCCTTTCTAAAGAGCCCGGTAAAAACCATCCCAGTTCACACCTGCCTCTCAGCACAGCAGGCAGGAGAGGATGCCCAGGAAAGGCCAGAAGTTTCTTCAAACTTTTTTTCTGAAACAAGTAATTAAATAAATCCCATTTCCCTGAGAGGCTATTTTCATATGCTTTTATTCTTAAAGAATAAAACTGTCATTGTATGATAGTTTACTGTAAAAATACCATCTTTGTCAAGCACAGAATGGTTTGTCAGACCATAACTATGTTGGGAGTACGAGAAATGCCAAATTCCTCTGAAGGTACATTAGGTATAAATCCTTGGAGCTAAATCCTAGTTCTGACTGGCCTGCGTTGAACAAATGTTAACGATGATTTTAAAGGCTTGTAAATTAGATTAGATTTTCACAAACCTGGCAGAAAGGACTTGCCTGGCACAAAGCTCTGAGTCATATCACATCGACTCCAAGTCATCCCACCTGAGCATATGGGCATCATGAAGAATATCAGCCAAAATAATGGTTACAATCTGGTCAAATAATAAGCATTTGATAGTTGGTGTTACGGAAGATATGTCTGTGTCTCCATTACTGATCTGATTTTCTAAGTAATCACGAGAGAGGAGAATGGAAATACGTGCTGAATGTTATGCAGCCCATCTTTTTGCAGTTATGACTTCAGATCATGGCATAAATTTCTGTTTTTTTTTTTTCTTTTTAGAGCAACTATATGGTGTTCATGGCAGAACTGTTCTGGTGGTTTGAAGTGGTGAAGCCGTCATTTGTACAACCTCGTGTTGTTGGGCATCCCCAAGGTACTTATATTCTTTTCAATATACATATATTTTTAATAGGCATGTGTTCAAATTACCATTGTGTTCACAAATATAGTGTACATGGTGTTCAGAGAAAGAGAAACCTATTTTTTCCTCATGTTAATCTTCACGTCTCATTAGTCTTAAATAGCTTTTGTTGCTTATTGCAAAAAAAAAAAAATTTGAATCACTGTGATATAATCATGTGAAGACATTCGCAGCATAGATCACATAGGCAAGCAATGACAAATGTAAGAGCCAAGAACAAAATCTAGCCTGGGGAACTTGTACTGCTGAGAAGAAGGTTGAAGAGGAAGGAGCAGAAGTCTGTGGCAAACCATCTGTTTCAGGCATGGCCCTTGCACCTGGGTGCAGAGGCGCTGTCTTTGCTCAGACAGACTCGGGTAGGTTTTGAGATGTGTTCGTGCAGAGTCATGGTAGCTCAAACTTCATACAGTGATGCCATAACTGTCTCTCTGAGAGCTAGTAAGTTGTTCCCATTGTGTTGGTTTTTATACTTTTTTTTTCTCTGCTCACTTGCTTTGTAACACATAAACTATATGAATTAAAACTTTTATACATTTCTGACTAATTTAACATATTACTAGCTACTTAAGCATATGGCCTCAATAATACTTCCTAGCTGAAATGTTGATTTGGGCATTTAGACCAAAATTTTAATCGGAAATTTTTCTTTGAAAAAAATCTTCTACGCTTTTAGTTTTCTTTCAATATTTTACATACTATTTCTTCCTTTGTCTTCTCTTTGTCTTTTTTTTCATTCTTCATTACCCCAATTGGTGTCAATAAAGGAACTTTTGGTAGGCCAAGCTGAAAGGAAGTGACTTTTTTAATTAAAAAATAGAATCAGTGAAAATTCCTGAAGTCTTTAGAAATGATTGTTTTAGATTATTGCAGGCAGCTTTTCTAATTTAGATTTTAACTGAATATGAAACTAGAAAAATAACTTGAGCTTTGTTCTTCCTGGCAGCTGAACCTAGAAAAGATGCATCTGCTCACAGTTTGAATGCTAACAGAAGACATTACGTGGATGGACCTTGTGGTTCTGACTTAGCCAGGTAATGTCAGAGAGTCATTGGTACCATTTCACAATGTTCTATATAAAATCAAACACAGTTTTTACTAAATTTTGATGCCTTTTTGTCACGTTCAAGGATTCAGTTACCACATACAGTAACTGGAATTTGGGAGAGCAGAGTCCTGTTGCTGCATGGAGAGCAACAGCTAATGCTTACCACCTGCAGCCCTCTCCCTTGTCTCGCAGGTTTCCACAATAACACAACGAGGTGGAGAGGTAGCACGTGGCCTCTTGTTCCCCTGAGTTTGAATGTGGGGCTGCTGTACACTGCTCCTCTGGGCAGACACCAAAAAAAGAAGAAGAATTTAAAATGCTTTTTTAGCTATTTGTGCCTATTTTAGCTTCAAGAGATCCTCTCTATTTTATGCAACTAAAAGCTTGTCAGAACCGTTTCGCAGTTCGGCGAGGCAGGGCTGAATTACCTACCTAGCCGTGCTGTGCTCTCGGATCAGGATATTCATCAGTAAACAAGCTTGTATTTCTTTATCCACCTTCTCCTGGGGGATTCGTTGAAAGCCCAAGCTTCTGTCAAATCTGCTGCTTTCTATGACATGTAATAGAGTGGCTTAGTACTTAAATTATGTTAATTGTTTACCCACCAGGTATAGAATTGTTCCTGCCATTTCTTCTAAATCTCTAGGAAGATTTTAAACTCCAGGGTATCGTTCCTATAACATAAAATTGAAAATCATATTTGAATTTTGAAGGTGCAGGTCTAACAGTTGTCCGGTTGTGGTTGTAATAGCTGTTCACTAGCCACAGTTTGGGATCCCGGACCAGCTTTCCTTTAATGATCCAATGTTGTACAGTCTGCTGAACACTTAGTTATGTAAATGTCAATTTGGTACAGTGTTACCCAGGACACAGCCTAGCACATAAAGCTTCAAGATGCTTGAAGCTTTGTAAGCTTCAAGATGCATTCAAATCCAAAACCAGCCAGAGTTAGGACATACATTACTGCATATTACAGTCTCGCATTGAGCTACCACATTTAAAAAATTTATTTGGGTTTGCGGTATGAAATGTTCCATAACACAGTAATCCCAAACAGTTACTTAAATGTAGGCATTCAGAGCAGTGAAATAAATGCTTCAGGAAAGAAAAAAGGCTTATAAATACTAGTGTGTGTGTGTGAAACACTGAGTGAAAAGCTGGGGACAAGAACTCCAAAATCTGGCACGATTATGTTAGCACTCAATATCATGAAGGTCAGATAAAGTAAAATAAATACTTCTGCTATGATGAACTTCTCAGCTACTGTGGCTGTCAAGGATCCAGAACATCTGCTTGACTATGTTTTGTTTGCATTTTTTTGGTGAATACAAATAAAACATTTTTTTCAGTATTGCTTTTACAGTTTTAGAAGCGGTATAAAATGTCCTATTTCCCTTGTGTTTCCTAGCTGATTGTGCTGCTGATAGTAGGCACAAATTGTGTGTTAGGCCACCTTTAATCTTGGTTTTGGCAGAGGAAAGAGCCTTCCAGTGACCTGATGGGAGCAGAGCACATGGGGGTTGTTAACATTACGTTATATTTAAAACTTAGGGCCAAAGATTTATTGATTTGTGCATGACCTGACACAGAGGAAAAGGGATAAAATGAGCATTTTGACTGGTTATCTACTCAGCCCTGCTAATCTTGTTTAGCTTTTTTTTTGTTTGTTTGTTTTTAATATTTATAAATTGATACTGACTTTCAAGTGGGGACTAACTTTTCTTGCTATCATTAAATACCATTATTCTGCCTCTCTTTTTCTTTGTGTGAATCTGGAGTGTTTCCCATGTAGACAATTAAGTCACATTAGTGTCAGCTGCTGGGGGAACAAGAAATATGCAAGCATTTGGTGTCTGTTTTGGAAGGGGGTTCCCAAGGCCCTTTGCGCATTGCAGGGCGTTTGCAAGCAGGCAGTGAAGGATTTGGGACTGCATCTCTCATACACAGAACACCAAAGCAGTGAGGACACTTGTTTCATGTGGTTTGTGAGCTACCGTTCCCCGATAGAGCCCGTAATGAGCAAAACATCAGTGACTTCAGAAAACTTGTAGAAGTTTTTGGAGGTAGTAAATCCACACCCATTATGTTTAAAAGCAGCAAAGAAATCTGAGCTCCGAGCCACCCTTAAGTGGTAGTAATGACTGTGGCAAAGAGTTTCTTTACATAGAAATAAAATTTTTACATGAATACTGGACAGCAACATGAGAGGAGTCAATCTGTAGCTTTGAATGACTGAGAAAAAAACCCCACAGTTGAAGCCATTGCCAATGAATTTCTCTCTGCTTGCAGAAATGCTGTGAGGGACATAAAATCCCTTTCATGCAGACAGACTTTGCTTTTACCTGTGGGGGTTCCTTGCCCATACAGATGGCTTTGGCCTCCACGCTGAGGAGGGGCAGATGGGAAGTTCTGAGAGGAGTTCTCTGAGCTCGTTCGTGGTAGTTGGGCATAGCACGAGTTTTGGGTGACTCGATGGCGCTTCCCTGCGCGGTGTGACACGGCAGGCTGGGGAGGTCGTCTGGGAGGCCTGACCTCCGGCACGGCCTCCGTGCCGCAACGCCCTCGCGAGCAGCGCGGAGCGGGGAGCCGCAGCGGTGCCAGGCCTCAGGTTACCACTGCAGGCTGCCAAAATCCGGCTTTTCTGAGTGGAAACGAAGTGCATAGGTTTATTATTATTATTATTCACAGGCTGAGGGATGAAATTTTGAATGGAGGCTTTTCTTGCAAGATCACTTTAGAAACATTGCAGATGTGACTTAAGAATACTGTGTAGGACTGATGAAAGGGGTGACTGCTTGGGAGTGTGCTGTTCATCTCCAAGAACAAAATTCCAAACATAAAAGGATTTAATTCAGCGTGTTTTGAAGTGTGGCTACTTGAAAAGTATTTTTACATATAAATTCATATGTCTCTGTGCATGTATTTTTCTTGTTCTGATCTTGAGGAAGCACCTGGATTAACTGACTGAATTATATGGAAACCTCTTCAGGACTAAAACAGCTAGTCTCTTCAGATTCCTGCTTTGAACAAAAAAAAGCATCTGCTGCAAGTAGAAACAGAGCAAACCTTTGTAGTTACTGTTTCAGTAGTATATGTATTTGGTTTATTTATAGTTTTGTCTACCACAAAATCTCCTTTATCCGTTTCCAGTGCATATTGCAGTGCATACACAAAAGTTTCAGTCTAAGCAACTAGAGACAGAGACACGCGTGAAGAGCTTATGATACTAGCTGCAGTCTCTCAGTTTTGTGGGCAGTAGGAAACACCTCATTTTGTTCATTTATGTTTATTTTGTTGCCAAAATCAAACCTAAAAATGAGAATGTTCCAGTAATAGACTTTCCATGAAATAATAATAATTCAAAACTATAATACCACTCTGTGAAAAAGGCATCCTGGTTTGGTTTTTGTTTCTATTTACACTGTGTCTAGTTAAAGATGTATCTAGTTAAAACTTTTATTATTAAATTAATATTCTATGAAGAGAGTTAACTCCTCACTCTCCACCCTTTCACAAAAAAAAAAAAAAAATCTGTTTTTGTGTTGGGCGAGGATGCAAAGTCTGGGTGTCCTTTTGTAATGTGGCTTTTGATGTGTTTTACCATCTCTTGCTTTATAGATTGGAAAGTCCAACTTATGCCCCATCCCATCAACTGCATACACCCCAGCAGCCTTATTCTTCTATTCCAGGTAATAACTTGCAAATGGGTGGAAGGGGAAATGAGATAAGGTATTTTCTTCTGAGTAGATATTTATATTGCTAATATTTCTTCAAGAATTTTGTGTGCCAGTCACTGGAAGAGCCATGCATGAAAGGCCAAAGAATGAGTTCTGTAACTTAGAAAATACACAAATGTGAATTTGTGTTTGTCCTTATGTTGTTTATATTTTTTTCTGTTTTCGTTGTGTGGAACATAGCTTACAACAGTTACTTGTAGTGTAACATATATATATTCAGGTGTAAATTATTTGAAGGATGATGGATATAACGTATGTACAGGATGAAATTCATAAACTCAGTTGGTCAGCTTTTATTCTCAATATAAATACAGTGAATTAAAATTAGAATTATTTGCCATTGCAGTGCTCCAGGTACTGAAAAAAAACTGATTTATTAAGCCAGCAGATTATGTTAAAATGCTTTTTGAAGTTAGTTACCTTGGCTTGTGTTTTAATTTCACATAGGAGTCATCAGAAGGTCCTCATCAATGTCTTACGTGGATGGATATGTAGGAACATGGCCCAAAGAGAAAAGGTAGGTAATCCCACCATAAGACTTGATTACAAAACAGTAATTATGTGCTGGTCATACACTGTAATAAACTCTGTACCAGTTGGGTTTTCGGGATCCTTTTAACACAAATTCTTGTTAAGTGACTGAGAGAATGAAATAGAGAAAGAAATGGAAAACAGTATCATATTTTAAATTTGTGAATATTTTATCGTAAATCTTGAACTTGAGTTATTTTCTTTATTCTAATCTCATTTAGGTCATCCCTACATGGAGTTTCATTTGACATTTCTTTTGACAAAGAAAAAAGTATTCCAGTATCTACTACAAACAGAGGAATTACTAGATCTGTGAGCAATGAAGGCCTTACACTAAATGTCAACCGTATGCCCAAGCATATTAGAAAAAATCTGTCCTTCAAGCCAGTAAATGGAGAAGAGGAAAATCAAGATATTGAAGAAGAAAAGGACGTGATACCTCATAAAGACACAAAGGCTGTTGCCCCAAATCAAAGAAATGCCAATGAGAGCGGCCACTACAGGTTTCCAAATGGAGCTCTGCAAAACAGGGCAGTTCTGGATGACTTTGGCAATCAGATTGAGACACCAAGCATTGAGGAGGCTTTGCAGATAATTCATGACACTCAAAAATCTCCCCGAGTTATCCAGCAAGACCAAATCACCAATGGCTTTTTTCTTCACAATCAGGAAATGAGTATCTTAAATTCAAATATTAAACCAAATCAGTGTACCCCTGATATAGTTACAGATTCGAAAGGTGCTCTGAGCCCTGTGACTGACAATACAGAAGTAGATACAGGAATCCATGTTCCGTCAGAGGATATCCCAGAGACTATGGACGAGGATTCCTCTTTGAGAGATTATACTGTAAGCATGGATTCTGACATGGAAGAACCATCTAAATTTCTTCAGGATTATGATATACGAGGCAGCAATCACAGAGATCAACTAAGTCCCTGTCCCAGCTCAGTAAGTGCCAAATCACAGGCAGGCAGCAGTGCTTCTTCAAGCTCAGGGGTTAAAATGACTAGCTTTGCAGAGCAGAAATTCAGGAAGCTGAATCACACAGATAGCAGGAGCAGTGGAAGCAGTTCGCAGAAAACCACACCAGAAGGGTCTGAGCTGAATATTCCTCATGTGGTTGCTTGGGCTCATATTCCCGAGGAGACATCTGTTCCTCCGGGAAGAGACACCACACAGTTACTGGCTTCTGAAATGGTGCATCTTAGGATGAAGTTGGAGGAGAAGAGGCGAGCCATTGAAGCACAGAAGAAAAAAGTTGAAGCTGCATTCACTAAGCAGCGGCAGAAAATGGGAAGGACAGCATTCCTTAATGTTGTGAAAAAGAAAGGTGATGGAGTATCACCTCTCCGAGAAGAAGCAGCAGGAGCTGAAGACGAGAAGGTATTCACTGATAGTAGTCGATTGAAAGAAAAAGAAAGTCAAAAAACAGATGAACAAAGTAGTAAGACTTCAGAAGGAATAAAAGAAAACCCTGAAAGTGCTCACAGCAAATGGTTTAAGTCTCCTGCTACGCCTATGGATTCTGAAAAGCAGTGGAATTTCGCAAGCCCCGCGGAAGAAAATTTTAATGAAGGAGATATCTTAGAATATACAAAATCTATTGAAAAACTGAATTATGCAACGTCTATCCCTTCAACAAGAGATGCTGATGCAGATGAGAGAGAATCAGGCTTGGGTCATTTCTCCTCCTCAGCCTTCTCCTCAGAAGCAGATTCGGGAGTTTAAATCTTCATCAAGGCAAATGGGAACCCCATCTCCCATTGCATCTTTTGCACAGGATTCTCCTCGCTCTACGCATCAATCACCACAGTCTTCCAACAGGAAGAATGCTTCTTTTTCTGTTAAAATGCAAAGGACTCCTAGGCCAAACGAGTTAAAAATAACACCTTTAAATCGGACCTTGACTGCCCCACGCTCTGTGGATAGCCTTCCTCGTTTGAGAAGATTTTCTCCAAGTCAGGTTCCCATTCAAACTAGATCATTCGTTTGCTTTGGAGATGATGGTGAACACATAGATGAACCTCAGTTAAAGGGAAATCTTTTGAAAGAAGTCAAACCTACAGAGGAAGTAGTAAAAGAAGAAGGACCAAAAATTTTGAAACCGTGTGAACAGAAGTTGGAAGAAAAGATTAAGCCTCTTGAATCTAATGTTTCTGAAGTATTAACTCAACCCATTACAGAAACTGTCTGCCTCACCCCAAATGAAGAGCAGCTAAGCCACCCAGTTTTACCAACAACAGCTCCCAAAACAGCTAACTTGATTGAAGTTTCCCTGTCAGATTTGAAGCCACCAGAAAAAGCTGAAGTATCTGTTGAGAAATATGAAGGTGAGAGTGATAGAGAACAATTTGAGGATGACCAGAAAGTGTGTTGTGGATTCTTTTTTAAGGTAAGCAAATTAAGTGGATATTTCTTTGCTACACAATTTTCTTTGAAAGGGAACTTGTTAATTCAGATACGGCTTTTCAGTTAGGACTTTCCATTGAAGTCAAAGCAGCTGGTTCCATCATTCTGAAATCGCGAGCGTATCTTTTGCCCTTGTCATTGTAAGAGCGGCCAGATTTGACCGCAGTGCAGTCCCAAGCGTGCCAGAGCCCCCCTTGCCATTTGTAGCTGTGCAGCACTTGGCAGTTTTGATAAGGAGTAAGATGCTTGCTGAATGTAGATTGATTTTTAATGTGTTAGTGCCCTCACATCCTCTCCCTCACCTTCCCATCTCACCCCCTGGAATTGAATGAAAGCATGTAAAGTACAAATTTCAATATAAGCTTGTAGGGAACTTTGTGTGTATTGAATGTCTTGGAATTGCACTGTCTCCCTCTTTCGGCTAGCTGAAGGACTGCACTCCTCTAAGACTCCTTTTTGAAGTTGGTGTTTGAGAACACTCCCTATTGCCTTATTAAATAGTTGTAGGCAGGCTTTTAACTATAATATATATTGTGAGAGAGTAGTGTGGACACTGAAAGCCATTGAGATGCTGATTTTCCATCATAGAATACCCTGAAATCTTGCATTGCATATCTGAGATGTGGCTGTTTGTCCCATGAATGTTCCTCAACATAACAAAACTCCAGGCTTGATCAGCACAGGTTACTCGTGCTGCGTAGTTGCTGTGTTTCATGATGAGTTTCCACCATGCTCAGACATGTGGAACCTTCTGAAGCTAAGTGCAGGAATGTGGGATCTGATTTTGAGCTAGAATATTTCACCCAGCTAGTTTTCATATCAGTGTTAACTTTTATGCTTGACTTAGGAAGGAAAAACTCCTTAATTAAAAGTTTTAATAGTCTTAATAGACATCTTATAAGTTTATTTCAAATACTGTAGAAGTGTTTTAGTATATTGCAACTCAGTCTACGGAATTAAGCTTCTAGTGACTTAGCATCATCAGTTGCTGAACTCAAAGATCTTAATATTTTTGTGTCTTTTTCTCCAAAACCTGTTGCTGCTAGGATGATCAAAAGGCAGAAAATGACATGGCAATGAAACGAGCAGCGCTACTGGAGAAGCGTTTGAGAAGAGAGAGAGAGACGCTGCTTCGAAAGCAGCAGCTGGAAGCAGAGCTAGAGCATAAGAAGGAAGAGACGAGGTAAAATTAACCACATGTCTTGATCCGAATGATCAGTAACAGTGAACATAAAAATGCAGACATTTTTACGCTCTAGTTCAAATTGTAACTTCCCTGTCAGCACACTCTTCCCTGTAGACTCTCATTATTCCTTGAACCAGATGCACTAAGGAGCGTGGCTGAAGGCAGGTGCCAGCTGGTGCTGTGAGATCAGCAGGTGGCATCAGCCTGTTGCTCAGCCTCCACATGAGCCCTGCTGGCTTCAGTGAAACTCCTCTGAGCACCACTCATACCTGTGCTGCATATTCTGAGGGGGGGTTTATCACTCTGGGCTTCTTTGTGCACAGAGTACCCCTCTGCTAATAAAGGTGGCATTGTTTTTTATAGTAACATCATCCCAGACTTTATCTGAAAAGACCCCTTACTGATGTCTGAGAACTGTAAAGTTCCAAAAATGTAGTGCCTGCTGGTAATGCGATAGTCAGAACTTGGAAAGTTTCTACCATTTCATTTATTTGTTTATCTATTTAGACGCAAAACAGAAGAAGAACGTCAGAAGAAGGAGGATGAACGAGCACGGAGAGAATTTATTAAGCAAGAATATATGAGAAGGAAACAGCTAAAGCTTATGGAAGATATGGATACAGTCATAAAGCCACGTTCCCTCTCAATCAAACAAAAAAAGCCACGTCCAAAATCTATTCATAGAGATCATATTGAATCACCAAAAACACCAGTCAAAGGTCCACCAGGTAACAAATATTAATGTGGAAAGAGTCTGTTCATGCTAAAACACCAGCTTGTTTTTTGATACTAACAAGCACATGCATTTATTAGTGTCTTGTGCTAAACTGAAGCTGCATGTGACCAAATTGGAAAGTAAAATTTGTAACTAGAAAAGAAAAGATGAATGTCACTTATGTGTTATGCTTGCATGCATATATATGAACAGACCAAAAGCTTAACTGTATGAAAACCTAGCAGAAGCATGAACATACGTGACTTAAGTTTCATAGACACTCATGTATTCTTCACAGTCACTAATCTCTTCTTGCACCTATAGAGCTAAGAATGAATAACACTTGGGAGATAAGACATTGATAAATAAAATGGTTGACCCTAAGGTAAGAGTACTTAAGCTCCTGTGTGCTATAAACAGAATTAGAATAGAAAAGTTATCTTTACACTTTTGTGTCTTTCACTCACCTACTGCACGTATAGCTAAGACCCTAGCAGTGGTAATCTGGAAAAAAGATAGCCTTCTGTTAGATATGAAATAGCTGTTGGACCACTTGGAAGAAGTACTGCCCATTCACAACTAGAAGAAAGTAACCAGGCTGCTCACTTGATCCCTTATAGCATCATAGAGCCTTGTTATTTTGCTGCCTTTCTTCTAGCTGCTTCCCTCTGTCTTCCCGTGTAATTTAAAATATTCCCCTACTGCATTCCCAGAATCTGTTCCAAGCTTTAAATTAAGTCCCTTATAATTAGCTGTGTTTTATGGGGGCTTTTATACTTTGTTTGCATTCTTTGATTTGCATAGTGCCCATATTTCTGTGTCCGTGCCTCACATTAATGCTCAGTCCCGGACTATCCCGGCTTGCTGCATTTGTTTAATTGGCTGGGTGTCTGCAAGTGTTTACAGGAAATGCACCACATATGCATGCAGGTATACCATATATGAGAGTCTCATGTAAAAGCTCTTACCAACTTTCTGATGCTGGTGTTGGGGCTAGTGAACAGACTCTGCCACTCGCATAGGTTTTTATAAACTTTAACTTTGTTTTTATCCAGGTTCACAGCTTTATCGTGTCTTTTCAGTATCTAGTCTTTCCTTGGCATCGCTGAATACAGGGGACAATGAGAGTGTGCAGTCAGGCAAGAGAACACCAAGGTAGGTAAATCCACAAGGTACATTTAACTTAATAAAATTTGCTAATCATCTACCTAAAGCTGGCAGGGATTTTAAAAGAGGCGATGTGTATATTTTGTATCCCAACCAGAAAGTTTTCCTGATCTTTTTCAGACATTGATTGTTTCCACTGTAAGGCATTAGGAACTGAGCCACAGTCATTTGTTTCACAAATTCCACTGAGTAAACCAGTTGGGCAGCTATAAATGAGGTCAAAACAAAATGCTGTTCACACAGGCTCTTTAATTTGCCTGCTTGCATTTAGGTCTCATCTTGTTGGTATTTTATTAACACCTGAATGCAGTTACCTAACTTGTTTTTCTCTTATTTAACATAGTAAATTTTTTGCCCTTTTTTTTTTTTTTAAATATTCTTTGGCCCTGAAGCAGTGGTTTAGGAAACTGTGAAGTGTTTGCTTAGGGCTTTGGCCTAATCCTAACAGACAAATTTATTTATTTTATACCTGAAAGTAAGATTACATTAAATACAACAGCAATAAAACACAATAAATTATGTAAGATTATGTAACAAAAAAAATTTCTTTATCTTACATACAAAATCTATATTGTAATTCAGAGTGAAAAATTGATGATTTCCATTTAATTATTTAAATATATTCAGAGAAATACTAATTCTTCTTTAAAAAATGAAAGAGGGAGGGCAAAATAAGAAGAGGGATTTGGAGTACTATATGTTCCTGTATCACATAGGATGTTTTCATGTTTACTATGCATTATGCATCGATTCTGACAGCACTGCAGCTATTTTCAATTGGCCTGTCAATTTCCTTGGTATCTTGGGAGCTGACTTTCTAGTTATTACTTTTAAAACTAATAAAAATGATCCAAATATGCTTGTACATCTTGGCATCATTTAAAATGATCAGTTGTGATTAAAAGGGGGATTTTTTTAATTTTTAAAAAATTATAAACATTATAAAATTAACTAAAAAGGCTGAAATTAAGAAAGTAGGAAGAATTTTCTGTGTATTTCCAAACTTGCACTTTTGCCCTTTCCTCGTGTGAGAATTTCTTTTTTGATAATCATACTGAGTGAATTTCAGTGACACAGAAAATGTTAAATATAGTATAAATGGAACTTCAAGCTATTGCTGATTTTTCTGGAAGTTACTTGGGCGTGCAGAGAAATGTCATCATAACATCACTTTCTTCCCCATTTCAGACTCAGGAAAGCCTCCATTCTAAGATGAGAATTTGACCAACATACATTGTTAGGATTCTTTCTATCAGATACAGATCAAAAATTATTGACATTGGCCTCATCTAAGTAGCTTCTGTCACCACACAAAATGCTTTATACAGAAGATGAACCGTTATCCCTGAACTTCTGTAAAGACTGTGTATTTAAGTTTGCAGTCCACAATTCAAATCACAATGTATCACTTAAATACACTGTGTTCTCTTTTAATGTTAGAAGACTTCTCTTCTGAAGAAAATGTGAGTTTTTTAAAATAGATTCTCAAATTGATATTTAGGTCTGAGTCTGTGGAAGGGTTCTTATCTCCAAGTCGCTGTGGCAGTCGCAATGGGGAAAAGGATTGGGAGAATGCGTCTACAACATCTTCAGTTGCCTCTGCTACAGAATACACAGGTTGGTGACAAGAGATTTCCGATAAGTACCTGCTCTTAGTGGCTCTGCAAGTGCAAAGTTTTTATCTATCAGCAGGTGGATGCCTAAAACTTCATGAGAGTTTCATTAGAAATGTTTGTCTCCTCTAATACAGATGCTAGTAATACAGTTTTAAAATTTTATATCCAAAATAAAAGTACTTATTGACTGGTATTTATGGTAGGTGAATGTATGTTGTGTGTAAAATAACAAGGATATACTGCAGTTAGGCTGCAAAACAACAAACAGGCTTCCAAGTAAATCTTTCTATTTCAGTATTCTCTCTAGCAAAGCAAGAAGAGCTGAAATTTAATCTTGGTTTAGAAAAGAATTAGAAAAAAAAAAAAGAGATTGCTTTGATTGGCCTGCATTATTTTGTGGTGCTTATTTTTAAATGGGGCAACATGCAATTCTTAGGAATTCAACAGAATGCTTCTAATGGTTTTTAATGTCTTCACATTGTCGATCAGATTTCATGCAGCCTCTTTTTGTTCACTCTAGCCTTATTTCCCAAAGCATAAAGAATTTGAGTCACAAACCATTATTTAATAAATTTAAACTTACCGGTTATGTTCCTTTCTAAAGTTCAGAATTGGTATTGAGGTGCCTTACTCCCAACCCCTCTCTTCACCAAGGTGTTGACGCAGGTATACCTAAACCTTTTAGAAACACAGAACATTTTGCTGTTCACAGAAAGGGTTCTCGGACCTGAGCTGTGTTAAGCAAGACTGTCCAATAATTGTAATTTGATAATGAAGGATTTTTTTAAGCAAAGCTGTTACTAGCTGAAAGGATCTGAGGTTTCCTTGTTGACCATTACAGGGAAATAACTTTAGGCCTAATCATTTGATACAGAAATAACAAAGGAGGGGCATTTCACTCGTCTGTGAAATTTGTGGTTTCTAGCTTAATTCTATTCAATACCTGGCTTTATATTTTTTTTTTCATGCAAAGTGCTTCACAGCAATTAAAATCACTCTCTGTTGATATATTAATTTAATTAATCTGACATTCCTCTTCAATAGGACCAAAGCTCTTCAAAGAACCCAGTGCTAAATCCAATAAGTATATAATTCAGAATGCTCTGGCACATTGCTGCTTGGCTGGAAAAGTAAATGAAGGTCAAAAGAAGAAGATATTGGAGGTAAGGGTATTTTTCCCTAAAAGCATAAATGCCTAAATCAAACCACATTTTCTAAGATACTAGAAAGACATGCAAGTGTAAATAGAAATATTGAAAGGAATATTCTTCTGGGATTGTCACCTCTTACTAAAAGGCTTGAGTAACCTCTGTGACCTGGTTCCTCTGTGGATTGAAAGATTTGTCAGTACTCTAGAAACACAGTTATCACATTATGTTCGCAGCTCAGGAAGCTGAATTGACAGACATGTTAAATGATAGTTACTCCGTGTTTAATATGAAGATGAATTTAAAAATCTTCAACATGAAGATTTTTATAGTTTGTCCCCAAGTGATCCTAGTAGTAGGCTGCTATGCTCTGTGTTTATGAACAGAAATGCATACCTCAGGCTTTTCTGCTGTTTACAAACAGTAGAATTCTTATTCTGGACTTACTGCTCCAGAAAGGAGATTTCCAGCCTTTTCTCTTATACTGGTACATGGTTTTAAAGGCTAGAACATGCAAAAGGAATAGGCAGGAGCTTGAGGATAAGAAATGGGACTTTCATCATCTGAGACGAACTTGACAGATTAAATAGGTCAAAGAACACAGGTGTTTGGAACATGTATTTATTTCTGGAGCCAATTTCATCACAGTATTTCTGCCCTTTTGACTGTTCTCATTCCTCTGGCTTTGTGTCTGGATGCTGCCTTCTTTCTCTCCAGGTGCTTTTCAGAAATGACAAGTGAGGCACTGAGACTCTTTCAGGTCCAGTGAGTGGGAATATAAAAACTCCCAGAAACCCCAGGAAAGAACAGCTATAAAAAGGTCGTGCTTAACTCTAGGATGCAGCATCTTCACTTGCCTGAAGTTTTGTGTGTTCAGGGCATGTGTCCCCTAGAAGCTACATAGGGATGGAACAGATAAAGAACCTTTGCTTAATACACTTCAACTGTCTTTACAGTTTGCCCAAACCTGAAAGGAATCAGAGATGATAGAAAACCCTGGAGGATCATAAACTAGAGGGTCTTTTAGACATCCAGACATGTATAAAGTCCCTTTTCCAAAACTTAAAGTATTAGACTTGTTTGATGAAATGACTGTAACACTTCTAATGTGGGCAAAGAAAAAAATCCTTTAGGATGTCTATTCCTTAGGGATAGCTGAAATTATCTGAATAAGGTTTTGCCTGAGAAAGATGCCTTTTGTGTTAAAATTCAAATAGTTGAAGCAGAGCAAATGGTAATGATGAAAATAAAGTCTTCTAATGAAAAATGTTAGGTATACTGAGCAGCCCTGACAGAAAAAAGAAATCAAAGTGAAAAGTCAAAAATTTTGAATGTTTTTTTAATTACAATGCAAAATTCATATTGTGAATCTTTTCTTTCTCTCTTTCTTTTCAAGGAAATGGAAAAATCCGATGCCAATAATTTCTTAATTCTGTTCCGGGATTCAGGCTGCCAGTTCAGATCTTTATATACCTACTGCCCTGATACTGAGGAAATCAGTAAATTGACAGGGATAGGTCCCAAATCTATCACGAAGAAAATGATAGAAGGACTTTATAAATACAACTCTGACAGGAAGCAGTTTAGCCACATACCTGCTAAAACTTTGTCTGCCAGTGTCGACGCAATTACCATTCACAGCCATTTGTGGCAAACCAAGAGACCAGTAACGCCTAAGAAACTTTTACCCACCAAGGCATAGTAGATGGGAACAATTTTGGCTTCAGACAACTATGATAAACTTGCACTTCATCTTTACTGCCTATAGAATATAGATTTCTAGTTGCCAACAAGACTCTTAAAACTGGACACCAAGTTGTATTATCATGCCCAACTGGAATGTAAACACATTATTTAGGAGTACAGAAGATTATGGCTTAGGTGATACTTACAAGTGATTTTGGAAATGTTTGACTTGTGTGGAGATTTTTATGTGCTAATACAATATATAGAGTATATTTGCTCTGTATTTTGATTAGATACACTGAAGCACTGAATGTTCATCTTTAGTGACTCAAACTACATAATTTTTTTTTACATCTGTTGCCTTATACGTTTGTACTTGTGCTTGTCTTGAAATATTTTTCTTTCACTAAAGAAACACTTCTTAATATCCTCGACACCATGGAACTTTACATACTGACTCTTATGGAGAAGACTAAATGGTAAGTTATATGTCACTGAAGAACAGCTGAAGGAGTCTGTTTTGCAAAATCCCTATTGTATGCTGTAGTAAAATCAAGATTCATTCCCTGAATATTTCTAATTCCATTTCAATTAGACAATACTGATTTGCCTGTAGACTAACCAGTGAAGTAAAAATCTTTGAGTTGCCTAGAGAGAAGTATCCCTCAAATGAATTGTTTAACAACTCAAGGTATAGAGTTATTCCTGTTTTAATAAGTTACCATCTGGAATGTAATGATTGACCATGTGCTGGCCCATAATCCCATTAAAATACAAAGAAAAAAAATGTTTGTTAGATCTCTTAAACAGTTTAAGCAGATATGTATTATTTTTCAGTGTTCCAGATAAAGAATGAATTTACGGTGAGTTCCTGCTTTGCTACAGAAGGAATAGAAACACTAAAACTTTCAGAGCTAGATCCCTGATGCCTGCCTGACAGAACACTAAAAATATTGAGAAGAAATCACATAATTCACTAAGTCATAGACCTTCAGAAGTTGTCACTAATTCCCATTGATTTTAAGATCTAGGCTGCTCTCTGTTCTTCTGCCTTCAGATCTGCCATCTCAGACTAAAGCAATTTTCCAGGGAATAGACATCTGATAAGAGATTTCTGTAGGTCTAAGTAAATGACTTCCTTGACACACAGTAACAGATGATGTCTTGTGATGCTTGTTAGTTTAAAATCCATGTGGCAAAAAGCCTGAATGACATTTCAAAAATATATCACCATTTACAAAAATACACTTGGAGCGTACTTCAGTATTATTTACAAAGGGCTGCATTTTATTCCAAAACAGTGTTTTATTATTTTATAGATCACTATTCTGTTTCAGTGGGTTTTTTTCTAATTTGCTTTTAACACACAGCACTGTTCTGGGAAAAAAAAAAAAAAAAGCTACAAACTTGAAGCCTCCCCTAAATCTGTGGCTATTTTGTTGATGTACAGTGGAGGATTGGTTGGGGGAAAAATCTCATTCTCAGGAAAAGACTTGAATGCTTTGTGATTCTGTTCCGTTTTGCTGTTGTGACAACTACATAAACATAAGACAGTATTGTACTATAAGTATCTAGTCTGTTCTGCTTCATGGGGAGTAGAGACTAAAGCTATGTTCAAATTTCTCTCATTAAACTGCTTTGAGAGAAATAAAGCCTCACTACTATGATGTGCTGATTTAGTTACATAAAGATGCACAGGAATGAGATGTCATTAAACAGTTTAGAACAGTACTTTTAAAATTATTATAAGGCCTTAGGCATCAATGCATCTGAGTTAGAAACATTTTCTCAAAAAATCCTGTCAGTTTTACTGTAATTTATGTTATACTTATGTATATTTGTTAAAACTGTAAAAAAAGAAAAAAAAAAAAGAAAAAACACTTTAAAATACATGTTTAATATGTATGTGGCTCAAAACTATTTGTGGTTAGCTGATTCCTACTGCTTGCATGTATATGACCAGGATATGTAACTCTTATATTTCAAGTGTATACATATTGTGTATATAGTATATAAATATTATTATATAAGGGGGAAAGAGGGTTTGCACATTCTGCCTGTTAGACAGCTCCTTGCAAATACGGTTGTAGGAATATCTTGAATAACCATATGAAATTGTGTATAATATGTAGTGGTTCAAGAAAGCAGAAGGTTGGGATCAACTGATGTGTATGCAGTGAATAACTGCGAGAGAGTTTTTATCATGGGAGGCTTTTTCTTTCTAAATCCTGTGCTGTGATTTAACTGACGATTTGCAACACCATCAAGACACACATATAATCTAAGTGAACTTAAATACAGGATGGAGTATTTCTTTGAATGCTATTAACTGTATCTGAATGTATCATGAAATTTACATTTGTCAACAGGCTAAAGAGCTGTGCAGTGTTGAAAAGTGGAATGTCAACAATGCAGTCCAAGTTCATTGCTCGCAGTATAAAGTTTTACTGAATGCAGGAAAAGTAAAACTAGATACACTTTTCCTTTTTAAGCCTGCAATTTTTCTATTTACAGTGGATCTTTGGTTGAGATCATGTTTAAAAAAGAAAAAAAAAAAAAGAGAGAAAAAAAAAAAAGCTTTCCATAAAGGCCAGTATTTATAACTGACCTTATCAGAACACACTGGTGCTTTCATCAGGGGTATTATTATTGTTGCTACAACTGAATTGCCAAACTTTCATCCTAGTTTTTGGAGCAAAATTTCAGATTCTAACAGTCATGATAGCTACTGATTTTTTTTTCTTTTTTTTTTTTTGGTATGACTGTTAGTTTTTATTATTTGGCTGTTTAAAGCCAAATTCAGCTATTTAATTATGATTTAATGGGCACTGTTAAAAAATGTACAGTGTATTGTGTGCTTACTTGTCCACTTCTATGGAGCATAGCTTCCATATTTTTTCAAATGCTGTGCTGTAAAATATTGTCATTGCTACTTACGTGGTACAGTGTAGATTTTTCCTTTCATTTAAATAAAAGCATGGCACCAAAAACTACCTAATTTGTTTTCTTGTTTTCATCTAAATATAAATAGAAATTATAAAAAGTTTAGCTATATATTTAAAAGTTTTTTTCCCTTACTATATTGCAGCAATTTTAGGGAATGCGCACATTTTTTATTTCTCTTCTGGTTCCCCATTGTCTTTGTGTTACTGTCTTTCCCAGAGAATTTTGCTTTCACATACTATCAAGTATAGACTATTAAAGAACTGGACTTCACATTTCATTCTCAAAGGAAAAACCGAGTTACCCTTTTCTCTTCAAAAGTGAGTTTCACAGTTGCAAGCCAACTGATAAACTCCTGAACTTGGATTTATTTCCATTGTTTCAAAAAACATATAAACATGCTGCAACATACAATACATATCAATGCAAAAATATTGCTTCAGATGGGCAGGTTTTCAAGATGAACTGTTATCTGTACTGAGACAACTAATAAAGAAAAGGCCTTTCATGGAATAAACTGTGATACAATTTTGAACAAAAATAGTATCCAAATAAGGTCTTTTTTCTAGATACGCATTTTTCTCTGTCTGATTTATGTCTCTTTTGGACTTTTGCATTGTCCTGCCAGACTGCAGAGCAAGAGGACATGGCATCACTGCAGTGCTGGCAGCCAGAATGAATTCTTGGGCTAGCACAAACGAGATCACCGAAGTTTAGAGCTACTCAAAGGGCAGGTTCAGTACTACAGCACCTCTGGCATTAGGGCTTTTAGTAGTGAGTTGAAAATTAATGTGGCTGAATATTAACAGCTTTCCCTTTTTCCTCTAAAAGTGCCAGATCAGTCAGTACCATGCAGGGCATCGCAACCAGGCTGATACCAGCAAAGAATGACACTGGAATATGAACAGAAATTGCACTCGGTAAAGCGATTTTTTCCAGTGGCAAGTCTTAACTCAAAAGTTTAATCTAAAAAACAGACTTTGTACACAGAGGTCTTAAAACAGATTTTATTTCTTTTGTTCTTCTGCAAGTAACATTGCACCAACAACCTTTAGATCATGCCCTGTTTAATTTAACAGGCTATGACTGTAGTGTTTGTCTAAATCTGTTCAGAATTCATGAAGCAAAATTTGTCCTGCTGCGTGATCCAGCAGTGTAGAGATCTGGTACTAATAACTGCAGAATAATAATCTCAGTTATATTTGGAACCTAGACTCTTGGATCAAGCAGCATGAAAAGGGGATGTAGAAGATAGCTTTGTTGCTTGAATCCAAATGTGCTGCTCAGGTGTACACTTCAGATGCCTTAATGAACTTGATAAGCAATCTGAAGAGTCGTAGCTATAAAGGTGAACTTTGAGAGCCACAGTCCTTTGCAGCTGACAGCTGGCCTTTAGCTGTCCACACTCTTCAAACATTATATTCTACTTAATTAAAAAAAAAAGTATTATATATAATACATATTTCAGGTCTGGGTGTCAGAATTCAGTACTTCAAATGTGCAAAACACCTTTGTTCTTTAACAAGCAATATTTTTAAAGAAAACTAGTCCATTTAGAGAAAAAAAATATGTAATGTATGTACATACATACATACATATGGGTGCCAAACAGATCCTTTCAGACTTGCTCATTTGCACACAGCAGCAACTGGAGGTAAAAAGTGCTTAAGAGTATGTAATTTATTATTCTTTGATGGATTTATTAAGAAAGATAAGTTTTTTTCATGTAAGAGACATCAAAGTTTTATGAGAAAGGTACATGAATTTTATGGAGGCAAATACAAAGTAATACCTATATGCCTTTTATGTCGCTCTCAATCTGTTAATGGAGTTTTGCATAAAGACTAAAAGCTAATATGAAGCTTTTCCATCAAGACGGCCTTGCCCTATCCTTTCTACATCGTTGATCTAAATCTCTGTATGGCAAGACCTGGCAAGAGCCTACAAGCCTGCAATTATTTAAATTACCTGAAACCAGATTATAGTCTTGCTCAGTATTTTTATTGTTCAAGCTACCTGAAACTGGGGCTATGATGCTGGCATAAGTAAGCATCTAATCCTTGTAGATGATGTAAGCAAATTTGACTTTTGCAGAATTGTTATCTCAACGTTCTGGCAGCCCTTTCTTGGACTGAGTCAAAACTGTCTCCAGAAGTTTAAAATAATTAGAATTTTTTTTTTGCAACTTTTTACAACAGCATCATGTAATCATAAAATGGAAAGACTTGAATGGCTCCGCAATAATCACTGAGCCCATTTCTATGATGTCAACCCAACATTGCAAAACAGAACTTGCTGGACTGCACTGGCAGATCTTGTGCAAGGTTAGCACAGGGGAATGATTCTGAGAATGTATCCCACCCTGTTGACGTTGTCTGTGGCCACCCGCACCATCTCCAAAACCTGCTCTTGTCAGAAATTTAAGAGCAATGGAAGAGGGCTCAGTGTGGCCTCCCAAGCAGGCACATGGAGGAACACTAGCTGTTCTTCCATACCTCTTCCGTAAGGGAGACATTTTGTTCTTAAAAGCTTCTGGGATTTGCTACAGAAAATCCAGTTGAATTTCATTTAGATCTTGGACAATCTTTGCTGGACCTCTGATACATAGTGCTCTTCCACAGACATACACAAACACACATAAAATTTCAAAATAAAAACCTGGTCTCTGCTACA